GCTCGCGTTCCCATGAATTCTTGTGCCGCAACGTGCTGCTCGTCGAGCGTCGCTGAGCGCAGCAGCGACGTGACGACGGCTTCTCCCGGACACCGCCGCAAGGCGGTGGAGAGCTTCCCAACTCGATCCGAGTGAGAATGGAGAAAGGCAGCGTGGTTCGAGTCTGGGCTCATGTCGAACTTGTTCGTTGGAAAGAATACCAAAGTGCTCCCAGTGTAACGGCCCAGTATTTATTCCTTTACTGTCTACATATAGTTGGGAGAAACTCCCACATGGGGAGAATGTGTTTTTGGTTAAAGGAAAAATTCTCTCTTCTGATTTTTTAGGGGGGACACAGGCCACACACCCCGGACCCCATAAAAAACCCCATTTCTTATCACATGGGTAATAAGGGGTGTCGGCTCCCCCCTTTTTTCCACACAGGGCCCCGACCCACCTTTTCACCACCACGTTAGTGGGTGTGGTCGAAGCCACTTACCTTTGTAAAAGAAATCTACCTACTTATGTAATGGAGGGGCCCATTACAAATCGTAACAGATTCGGCGTGATGCAGTCTCATGAAGAAGAGTAGGGAGGGGATCCATAGATGTGAGTTGGTCATATCGATGGGAGGATGAAGAAGGACCCACAGGAGGGGTGTGGGTCAGGAGGAGGTGGATCGCTGATATGAGTTGGTCACATCGGAAAGAAAGAGAAGACGAATCCACAGGGTGGATTAGGAGGAAGGTGTAACGGGGTTACATGGTGTGGAGCACACAGGGGTACGAAGTACCCGGAGAGTTAACAAACTCTCAGTACATAAGTTGGAGAGTTAACAAGGTCTCTCAGTACGTTGGCTGAAAGCCACACGTTATGCATTTGATTAGGTTTAACTATGCTAGATAGTTAAAGAGATACATTTACCCCTAGGCGGCTTGGCCGCAATAATAGTAAATAAAACACTTCTGGTTTTGAAGCATAAAAGTTAAGGTGTTAACTTTGAGCCCTGGTCTTGGGCTGTAAGTGTCCTTTGGATAAGGAACTTAGTATCAGTGACTCTTTGAGTCGAACGTCTTCCTCTGACGCTAAAGCTACGGCAGCCCCGCTGCACTTGGTAGCACTTGTAGTCAATCCCGCTCCTGAGTCGGTTGACTATATCCTCTGCGAGGATGGAACACCCCGTGTTCGCGAATTTGCCCCCGGCGCAGCAGGACGCGCTTACTAAGCTTATGTCCTTGCTTGGCCCGGAGGGCGTGGCTCATCTTGCATCGCAAGGTCCAGAGGCGGTCACTGCCAGGCTGGAATCGTTCTCCCGCTACGAGAACGCGCTCTTGGAGCATGTCCAAGAGAAGATGAGCGCCGCAACGGCGGCGGCGTCGATGACGCGTGAAGAGTCTATGAGACTGAAACCGCTCATGGTGAGCGTAAAAACCTTCGAGGGGAAGGATTAAGAGAGTCTCCTTCTCTGGACCCGTGAGGTCGAGATGGCCATGGGATCGGCCCTGCTCCAGTCTGAGCATCGGCGCGTGGCGCTGGCTATCTCCAGGCTTGGAGGTCGCGCTCGCGAATGGGGCACTAACGTGCGGCACGTCTGTTGACGCTGCATTTCCCACTTGGGATCAGCTGAAGCAACAGCTTTCGCGCGTGTTCGCGCCGCCTAATCAGGCGTACCGTATCCGGTCAAAGTTCCTTGCTACCCGCCAGGGTAAGAAGGATTTATTGAACTATGTCCAAGAGTTGAGAACTCTTATCGCCGGAATGGCGGCGGACCCTCTTCCGGAACTGGTCAGCGTGACCGTGTTCATGGAGGGACTTCGTGTGAGCGCAGCTCGAACGGAAGTGTTCCGTGTACACCCTACCGCTTTTGAAGAGGCGGTGGATGTGGCATTGAATGCCGAGCACAACTTCAGGTCGGCGCGACCTGGTTGGAGCGCTGGTAGCGCAAGCTCTTCGAGCGGTCCAGAGCCGATGGACCTCAGCTATGCTGAAGATGAAGAAGCGGAGCTTCTTGCTGCGGAGCAGCGCGCCGGCATCCGCCGATGCTTTGTGTGCAATAGCACTAAGCACTTGAGGGCCTATTGCCCTCTGCGCAAGAAGCGCGAGGCTCCGGCGAGCCAACCCTCCGGGTCATCGCCGGGAAACGGCAACTCCCAGTAGGCGCGGGGCGGCCTACTGGGGAAGAACTGAGTTCTGTTGTGTCTCGAAGAGGCAGAGGGCAACGGGGCTCAGCCTCGAAGAGAGCTGAGCTCTCTTACGAGAAGAGTGTGTGCAAGCCGGGCTTGCTGGTCGTTCAAGCGAACGTGAAGGGCTTTGCAAAGCCATGGAGAGTCTTGATTGACTCGGGAGCCTCGGGCAACTACGCCCGTCGCTCCACCCTGGAAGGGAGTCAGCTGTATGCTGAGGCACTGGAAGTGCCAACGAGAGATACGTCATATGAGTCATCACCTTCGGGTCGACGTTGACGTTGCAGCACAGCTGGAGGTTTTGGCAGGTGGTACACTTGGATATAGAAATTGCAGAGCCACGAGGATAAGTCGGTTTGGTACATTTTCTCCATGTCCTTGTACTTATCCATCGTATGGTCCATTTCGCCACGTAATAGTGGCAGCTTGAATTTACCCTGTACGACCTGAAATTCTGGAGTTGAGAGTGGCAAGGCCCCCCAAGCGACAACGTGATCGGTTTGCATTGCCATTGCATGGTCCATAAACTGACCTCCTCCACGTCTTCTCCAAGGCCTAGACACTGCATTGGCCCCCGCATAGGCGGCTGAGGTAGTTTGGGAAAGCATGAACAGCTCAAACACCAGAGTGTTACCTGGTCGAAGCTCGACTTCTGGTGGACAGACCACAAACATGTCTTGATTTACTACCACCTCCGTATTGTA